TAGTTTTGGGGCACACCATGAACTGACCAAATACATGTTTTAAAGTAAAAATCCAACCAAAAATAGAACTACTTAGAAGTAAATAAATTTTAAATACTTTAGCTGTAATATTAATGTAGAAAAATCAAAAACGGCATGTGCATTTTTTCATGCACATAAATTTCAGATCAATAATAAAACAGGAAAGGGATACCTAATTCATCTTTTCCAATTTACACTGTATGTACTGTTAGAGCTATATGCATGATACATGGTATTTGCACTTATTATGCATTCATGTACAACAAATTCAGCTGTTTAGATGTATACATGCATGCATGCATGCCGAGAAAAGGCATCAAACGCTGTGGTAAACACATTCACCTGAAATACTGCTATTGTTACAGAAATGTGCACATGTCTTGAGAATTACATCCTATAGTTTACTTTTATTGAAATATGCATCACAGAAGTAATAAATTCCATTTATAACTCAATGGTAAACACATTGTCACTGTATTATAGTGTATAGTACTTGCATGGAAATCTCACTAGTATATTGCGTGATTGGACAAAATATGCAAATAAAACATTTTACAAATCGAAATTACTGTTGTCTGCACATGTAATAAATCATTCAGTCAAACCTTGTTATCTTGAACTTGATGAGACTGAGAAAAAACTTCAAGATATCCAAGGGTTCAAGATATCCAGGGTAAAATACTTAAGAAATAAGGACTTTCCCGTCACTTCAACATATCCATGGTATTCGAGATATCCGTGTTTGAGATAATGAGGTTCAACTGTATTTATAAATGTGGCTATTACATCAAATTTACCATATAAATATGCTTTATTAGAAATCTTACATCTTTTAAAGAGAATGTCATGAGAAGGGGGGGGGGGGGGTTCAAATGAAACATGCATAATTCTCTCCTAAAAATATTTTAAACAAATGTTGGAAAAAGATAGCTCTTTTTCACTATCCAATATATCAAAAAAGTGCAATATACTGTCTTCAGCTGTTTTACATATAAAACTAATATAACTTGAATACAAGTAAGTTGTATACGAAAGCCGGATAGGCTCATTTTTGACAAGACAAAAAAAATATTTAACTCGTTATAACGAGATAATTATCTCGTAATAACGAGTTAGTATCTCGTTATAACGAGTTAGTATCTCGTTATAACAAGTTAATATCTCGTTATAACGAGTTAGTTATCTCGTTATAACGAGATAATTATCTCGTTATAACGAGTTAGTTATCTCGTTATAACGAGTTAATTATCTCGTTATAACGAGTTAGTATCTCGTTATAACGAGTTAGTTATCTCGTTATAACGAGTTAGTATCTCGTTATAACGAGTTAGTTATCTCGTTATAACGAGATAATTATCTCGTTATAACGAGTTAGTTATCTCGTTATAACGAGTTAGTTATCTCGTTATAACAAGTTAGTATCTCGTTATAACGAGTTAGTTATCTCGTTATAACGAGATAATTATCTCGTTATAACTAGTTAGTTATCTCGTTATAACGAGTTAGTTATAAAATTATCTCGTTATAACGAGATAAAAATTGATCTAGAATTGATATATCTAAGTAAAGAATAGACCATTATTTATAGGAAATATACAGAAGCAAGTCGATCAAATTTGTTTGAAGTGTGCATGATAAAGATTTTATGGAACAGCATACTAGTTTTTTTGTGTTATGCCTTTGATTAGTATTGTTTATTGGAAAGACCGAAGACAAATATACGGAAACTTGTGACCGCCTCATGTTGTTGTGTTATACCTTAAAAGTGCAAAATAGAATTAGTGTCATCTTCAAATGGAATGTATATAACATCAAAATTTTGTCAACTTGTACAAGGAGATCAGAAAAAAATGATATACACTGGCTGATTTAACTGCCCTGTTCAAGCTTTCTTGAATTTGTTAAAATTATAATAATGTTTGCGTAATATTTGTCGCAATAAAAAATGCATAGAAATAATCCCATTATTTTAAATATTCCGAATAAATCATGTGGATATGAAACCATTTGTTAGGCTTTAACGATCATATTTTGATAATTCCTTGCCTGTTAACAAGGAATACCAGTTCAATTTTATCGTCTTAAAGGGGCAAGATCAAAATTCAATGTCTGACAAAAAACTAAATTCACGTTGTTTTTATCATCAATCCCTCCTTCCCCTCAGTAATAAATATGTTGTACTTATCACTTAATAATTTATATATTTCTTCTGTTTATTAAAAGAAAGAAACATTTTAATTTACCAATTTGGCATGGAATCTTAAATTACAATATGTAATTTTTGCGTTATTATCAATGTGGTAGAATTAAAAAAAACTTTTGGAGCTCTTTATTCTACGGAAGCCACGATAAAAGGTGAAGGTCAGCATTAGTAAAAACAGTTGACATGTGATCCTTTTTGGGTATAGAATGAAAGTTTAATATCTAAAGTTTACAATATGATAAGCATTACTTAAGGTCTATTTCAAGCATAAATTTTGCCAAGAAATGTGTATTGTATGTTGAGACAGGATTTTTGATATTTTCACTCGTGCTTTGCACTCATGAAAATATAAAAAAAAATTCCTGTCCCACTCGTGAAATAAATTCCATATCAACTATAAAACATTGAATATCCTCTATTTATTACCCCTCCCCCCCCCCCCCCCCCCCCCAAAAAAAAAAATCATCAATCTCTTTTTGAAATAAAAATTATATGCTTGTAAAGTATACATAATAAATATTGTGATGAGGAAAATAATTAACGACATTGCTTCAATGTTATATTAATAATATAAATGTACCTATATAGTATTAGGCCTATTCGTCGATCAATCCTAAGTAAAAAGATTATAAAAGTGAGCTGGCTTTGTAAACTCTGTAAACTTTTTTTTTGTTTTGTAAACTCTGGTTTGACGTTCTGACACTATGTGGTAAACATATAGGATCCGCCAAATAGACGTGAATCTCAAATAGGTCTCCGTGAATCTCCAGAACTTGGACCCCCCCCCCCCCCCCCCCCCCGCAAAAAATATAAACAGTGAATCATGACAGAATATTAAATAAAATGTCAATATCAGCAGATCAGATTTAACGTCTTATTACTTAAAAGGATGTAATATCATTTTTGCTTCACCATTCCTCATTATCGTGGACAATATGCATAAGCTAAGTCACAAAGTTCAATGGGGGGGGGGGGGGGGGGGGGGGGGGGTAAACCAAGTAAGATATTTGACAAGTAAAAAGAAAAAAAAATAGATTGGATATTCCAACTACGAGTATTCGCCATTATTTTCGGGAGATATTTATTCAGGTAAAAAAAAATATGGAGGAAGGGGCACAAATATACTCTTGACCGCCCTCTTTTCAAAAGTAGTGGTGTGGGCATTAGCCCCTCTATTACTACGCCTATGATCTAACTGCTGATGTCTCACCATCCCCCGTCTTCAAAACATTTCTGAATCTCAAAAGTAACATATGTATAACACTGTAATCTATATATTATATGTTGCATAAACGATATGTTGCACTTATATTGTCTCTGATATTTAATTTTAGCGGTATAGAATTTGATATATGAAAGTGTATAAGTCGTCCAAAACATATCGAAATAGTGTCATTCATCAGAAATAGTTGTCATAAATAAATTGCCAAAGTTTGAAGCAAGTAAGTTTGGCAATATTATTTCAAGAAAAATATCGCGTCCTAATGTAACAATTTGAGGAGGAGTTCACGAAAATGTGTAAATGTGTTCGCCTTAGAGTTGCTATGATTATTGACAGCGAGATAGTTCAAGATTTAATCATAAGTAAATCCCAGAGCAAATTAAATTTTCAACCATTTATCAATTGTTCAAGTTAAATTTGACTGATAATTACTTGCTAAAAATTCAATGGCATTAAAACTGCAGCCATTTTTATTCCTATATTGCTATTAAGTCTCAAAATAACAAGAAAACTGTCTCGTTATAACGACATAACTAATTCGTTATAACGAGATAATTATCTCGTTATAACGAGATAATTATCTCGTTATAACGAGATAACTAACTCGTTATAACGACATAACTAACTCGTTATAACGAGATACTAACTCGTTATAACGAGATAATTATCTCGTTATAACGAGATACTAACTCGTTATAACGAGATAACTAACTCGTTATAACGAGATAACTAACTCGTTATAACGAGATACTAACTCGTTATAACGAGATAACTATCTCGTTATAACGAGTTAATTATTTTTTTATCTTGTCAAAAATGAGCCTATCCGGCTTTCGTAGTTGTACACATGCACAATAAATGATTTTATTCTGTGGTACGTACATGAATGATTAAAATATAATTAAGAGCCCTCTATACACTGCACACTAGAGAGTTCTGATTTTGTGGTATTTTTATGCAGAAAGAGTGATCTGCCTTTTGATCAAAAATAAAATAAATTGAAATGTACAGTTTATTACTTAATCTGCGATCAAATCAAGCATTCATAAGACTTTAATAGGCCAAGGTTATGAGGCGCCGTTTTGGTATTTACTACCAAAAAGTGATATCACCTATTCGAATAAGTGATATCACCTATTCGAATAGGTGATATCACCTATTCGAATAGGTGATATCACTCATTCAAATTGAATAGGTGATATCACCTATTCGAATAGGTGATATCACCTATTCGAATAGGTGATATCACTTATTCGAATGGGTGATATCACTTATTCGAATAGGTGATATCACCTATTCGAAATGAATAGGTGATATCACCTATTCGAATAGGTGATATCACCTATTCGTGCTGAATAGGTGATATCACCTATTCGAATAAGTGATATCACCTATTCGAATAAGTGATATCACCTATTCAATTTGAATGAGTGATATCACCTATTCGAATAGGTGATATCACCTATTCGCATTTCTTACAACAACAAATAATGAATGCTCCCGTCCTCAAGATTATCTAGATTTTCATTGGAACCAAGCAAATTCGGGCTGCGTTAGGGTCTGTAAGTCTCGTCACGTGACTCGCGAGATTTTTCGATAATATTAAGTTCCAGGTACCTCACACATGGAGATGTGTATTGGGTTATGCATGTTTATGGTTTACACAAAGCGTATAAGGAAAGTTTAAGCAGTTGTACAAAGCCGAAGGATTCTCCGACTTACGATGGATAAATTGAGGGTCGTAAAAGCTTGGGTGCGAGCAAGTAGGAGGAGAATTTCGATCGAAGTACAGGTAAACAAGTCAGAGAATGTCACCTGCTTCTTGGGTATTCTTGGGTGAAATAGAAGTCTTATATTATACATTTGTATCTGATTAGAATAGTTTTGTTATCATCATTCCAACTAATTTATTAACAGATTTTTCTTGAATTCGAGGATAATGATGTTATTACCAGCTGATTAAGGAGGTAGTGTAAGTGTCAGATGGGTACGAACGTCATCTTGTGACAGCATCACCTTTGTGTGGGTAAATAATTTGTTCAGAATACGCTTCATTTATCAACAAAAATTTAGCTGTTGCATGTCAGTAGGTCTAGTTTTTTAAGTATTCAATGTTTGAAAGCACTTATCAGGTCCAGTACAATCTTTTGATTTTACTATATATATAGCTTTATTAAGCTGTTCAGAATAGCTTAATTTAGCTATTTTATCACACTTTTTCTTAAATTTATACTTTTCTCAGCATGCACAAAAAGTTGCACCTTGGTGCAGTGATGATACTCAACCTTGAACTCATCTGAAATTGATGCATTTAAAACTCACTCATTAAAATCTCCTTGCATACATCATACATGTGATAATTTTTAGGCCCAAATACTGTACAGCAGTCCTCAAAATACAGGAATTTGGGTGAAAATACTGTACATATTGTTCATCAAAAAACTATACAAAAAACTGTAAAAAATATTGACCAAAAATCAATGTAAGAGGTTCATTTTTTAAGCTCTTCTGAGCCAAAGGCCCAAAGAGCTAATGCTATGGCCATTTGTGTGGTGTGCGTAAACTTTTTAGAATATGGGCCATAACTCAAGAACCCTTTGGCCAATTATTGTCAAATTTGTCACAGGGTATCCTTGGGCCAAGGGCTTCCGTTTACACTAAAACTAGGGTTGTGACCCTTAAACAAGGGGAGATAATTAGGAAAATAGAAACAAAAGAGACTTTGTACTCAAAGTTCTAAAAGTTTTTGGGCTACATATGCAATTGATAAGTTACTTCTTCAATGAATTTATAAAGGAGGCCATGCAATTATGGTCAACAAGATAATTGATTAATTCAGTACATTCAATGAGAAGCAATCATACTTATCCATGCCTCAATGCACACAAGGTAGTGGACAGTTACTCAAATAATAGAAATTTATCTTTTGCTTAAAAGTAATCAAAAGTTGCAAAGTTGGAGCTATCTTTGATTTTGCTTGTTGTTTCGATAGCCCATAGCACATATATGAATAGTCAAATACATGCAACTTTTTGTCTATTTCTTACCAAAATAATTTTTGTGAAAAACTGCATATAAATAGCTAAATCAAGCTATTTTGAATAGCTTAATAAAGCTAAATAGCTATTTCAAGCTATATAGCTAAATTAAGAGATTGTACTAGACCTGCTTATTTCCCAATCCCAACGATAAGACTTTCTTTATATATTCTGCAAATTCTCTCTGCATTTATCATTGAACAAAATTCATATGACTGCAATTATATGACCATATTCTTCAGTTTAGAGAGCATATTATAGAGGATATTTTGGTTAAAGTTTTGGTCTGTTTCATGCAGTGTTTGTAATATTCTTTCATCTTACACAATTGTATACATTAAGATTTATTTTATAGCTAAAGTACAAGAGAACTGCAGCATCTAAGACTACATGTACATCGACTTTGAATAATCTACCCGGTATATCCTCAAAAAGGCAACTCAAATACAGGTATGAAATTGATGTCACAAAATAAGTTTTTGGACTTACATTTACTCTTATAATTCATATACATATAAAGCATATAAAAAATAAAAATGGAAAAGAATTAAAGGTTCATCAGGTGACAGCTCAATCATGTATGGAATATTATTAGGCCAAATAAAAAAATATGTGTGGTTCCCATTACCTGACCGTCCCTATTTTAGATCCCCAACCCTAAACTTTTTTTCGGCAATATTCATATTTATTTTCCGGAATTTTCCGCGATTTCCGTCATCCACTTCGGTATTAGTTTTAGTTCCAGCAATGGCGGCCTCCATGCAAAAATGGTTTCAACATGTAGTGCAAGTGTTTGATGGTGTTAAATCTAAAGCAAGCTAGCATGGCGTGGCAGTATACCTTTTTCCAGCGCCATGTTTTTTTGTTTGTTTGTTTTTTGGTTGCCAAAATTAAATAAATATGCCCAAGAGTGGCGAGATTCAGTTAGTTGCTCTGTTTACAGCTGGTTTATAACAAGTGCATGCTGATTAGCCCCTTTATTATTTAATGCACGCAAAGGTGTGAAGTCAGGATAGGAAATCACTTCTCGCTTGAAAGCACACAGGCAGCTGGCCAGGTAATGTTTTTTGGAGTTAGGGGGAAGATAACATGAGAAAACATTTATTTGATTGCATTGATTACGCAAGAATTAGCCCAATGTGTAAGATAGATTAACTTGTAAACTATTAAATAATTTATATCAGGATCATTTCTTTTAAACCGAAAGTAGAAAAAAAAAACAGTTCATGAGGAAAAGTGAAAAAGAAGACTGCTGATTTTACATGAATAAAGTCAACTTGCAAAACACCAATATATATGAGAAATGAGCTTGGAAGTATGAAGTCTTCAATGAGGCAAAAAGGTTTCATGATAGGATTTAAAATTTTAATAATATTAAATATTTGTAATTCTGACAAATTTGAATGATTCTATGTCATCTTGCTTAGGTGATTTATTTTGTTTTAAACATTACTGTACAAAGTGTAGGTGTCACATTCTTTTCCTCCGACAGCTCTTAGTAGAACTCTCAAGTCTGTTTTCTAGTTTATAGTTCAGAATTTATTATTAAGTAAAATAAGAACTGTTCTGGATAAAAGTAATTAATTAATTTCATTTATAAACACTGATTTTAAAAAAAGGATGTTCACTTTGGACTTTATTTTTTACAAAAAGAAAAGATTGTGTTTTCATTATTTTTGATTTAAAAATATTTGTTTCATATTCATAACTAGGGTGCCCCCTGCCAATGTTGACTAGTATATTTAACGCCACATCGAAATGCCACTTATTTTCTCCTTCACTCTGTTCATCCACAAATAAAACATTTTTTTTCTGAACCATAGTTGGAAAAGACTGAATTCAAAATAAACAAAACATTTATTAGTTATGAGTTATATACTCAGCTCTTCACAAAATATTTCTGTTTTTTTGCATTCTATAATGTACAATTTTAGATTTTATATACCTGTATAAAGACTTCCGCAGCAGATTCCGGTAGAGAAATCATGATCTATATTTAAGATTTAATGTATAATGCTTAAGATATCCATTAATTTTACTTATAATATACAATTCTGAAATTAATATCATCCTTTAAAAACAAGGATAGCACATATCATCTTCGTAAACACTTAACATTCTAAAAAAAGAAAATATAATATCCAAATAACTGTTAAATAATTCAATTTGCTCATGCTGATTTTCTTCAAACATTGTATTTTCTAGATGAGTATGAACTCGAATGAATAGAATCAGCAAACAACTGTTTAAATACCCAAGACATTTTATTCACACATTAAAGCACATATCTAATCCATATGCTTAAGAGAAAACATATCTAACACTCTGCACATAAAATAGTTCACTTATGCTAACGAAAAGAAATAGGTATTATTCAGAAAAATTTAGAAAATCATTTTGTACAAAAAAAAAAAAAAAAAAAAAAAAAAAAAAAAAAATCCCTACCTACCCTATTTTTTTTGAGGTGTAACCGGAACCACACATATTTTTTTGTTTGGCCTTAATGCTGAGTTTCCAAATGCAAAATTAAGGGTATTCGATATATTCCATACAAGTTGTCAATCATTTATTAGTGATTTGTACAGAGGTTCATTTGCATATAAATGTTGATAACATTGTTTTACTGTCTTAATTAACTTGTAATACTAAATTTTATAAATTGACAAATTCATTCTTTTTAGAAAGTGCATATAATTTGGAAAAGAGACCATCAATCCACTGGGGGGTATCGCATGAAAGCAATGATTATAGAATATTGTAAGGCTGGAGGAGTTATAGTACAACAGGCAGGCAAGTAATGGTACTTTGTTCTGGAAATTTTTCGCCCCAGTTTTATTTTTCTCATTCTGCCCTCCTTACAAGTAGGTGAATTTAAAACGGGACAAATTCGAAGAAGGCAGCATATATCTTTTAAACACAAATGTGTCTGATCAAATTTGAAAAGGGCAAAATTGTTTTCAAGGGTGAAAGAGTGAATATTTTAAAAATTAGAATGGGGTGAAAATATCCAATAATACAGGTTATATGTATTAACACAGTACATATGCATTTCTCTTTTCTTTATAATGAAAATAATTTGTTCTGTAAAAGGACAAATTTTGTTCTGATTTGTATCAAATAAATATGTGCCAGATTTATTATTTTGCAGGCACCTAAGTTACCATCAGTTGTGTGTCAAGCTGTGCAGAAATTCTATGTCATGTTACAGAATCTTTCTTAAATACAGGTATATGTCTGCTCATCTGGCAATCTTAGGACATCACTGGATGGTTTTGTTTAAAAAGATTACAGAGTTAACACACACTTCCAGCATGAAGACCAGCCAGTTGCCTCACCTGTCCTGACATTGTTAAAGGTAAATGGTCCTTTCAGAAAAGGATCTGACAATGCAAAGGCTTGCTAATCAATTAAAGATTTCTATTTACTAATAGGTAATTAATTTGAATTTCTGTACCTTAAAAATTTAATGATATGAATTAAAGAAAATATTTTAATCAAAATTATTTTTATTTCAGTACTTTGTGACAGTGAAAAGACATGGCTTTAAATTACTGTATCAGAGATCAATCCAGGTTATAAATCTGAGGAAAACAATAAAGCATCCACTTCGAGCTACTTATATCACTGCCTTAATAAGATGTCTGCATGTGTAACTAACAAAGGACAGTGACCAGTTGTAGCTATGATATCAGAGGGCATCCTGAAAAACACTCATCACTAAGAATAGAAAACTTCAAATGACTTTTGTATCAATCCTTTTGAATTTCATCTGGCTTGGAATTTCAGTAGCCTTTAGCATCCTTCAAGCATTTCATGAAGTACATGTACCAATTTGCAGGCATAAAATGTTTGAAATAAAAAAAAATAATTTCTCTGCCAATTAACATTGTCATAAGCAGTTGATTGATATCACAGTTCCACTGGCATAGTATTTGTGGCTGAATGGTGCCATTTTTAAGAAAACTTTTCACAAAAACCTGGAAAACATCAGATGGAAAGGAGCAGCTACAAGAAAAACAGTTAACACTTTCTTGAATATTAACAATGATATATCATGCCCATTTACATCCTTTATATAAACTAATTAACCTAATCATAGAGAATTATGTACAAATTCGTCCTTTTGTGTATTTATAGTGTATTAAATTGATTTTACTAATTTATAAATATTTATGTTTTTCACAGTCATTAACATTTACAAATAGAAGTACACATAACATAAAAATATTACATGTTTAGTAGGATAACATGAAATTGTTATACCACAAAAACCATCGCTGACCTCGCCTCGGTCAGCAATGGTTTTTAAGGGGTAAGAATTTTACATCACCCAAAATAAACAGGTAATATTTTTCTTGTCATAAAATGCATTTTAAAGAAAACATCAAGGTGAAACGAATGTGCAAACATTCTGCACAGTTAACATTTTTTATTACTGTATATACCGTTACCCGTAGTCATGCATTTTCAACCATTGGGATGTAATGTTTGGCATACAGTATGGTAATAGTACTTGTTAACAAATGTTTTTTAAACCAATCAAATTTGACTATTTAACATGAAAGTGTATCATAACAAATTTATCTAGCATAATGGTGCTGTAAGTAACCATGGAATGTGAGCTTGTGTGAACTTGATCCTGAATTATTAAGTTTTGATATTGTAAAAAAGAACTGTGCAGCCTAAACTTTAACTTGTACCTGATTTAAATGGAGTTCCGTCATTAACAACTTGGAAGTTGGAAGTTGTCACACTCATCATGAGTATAATAACTGGGGGATCTGCTTCATTTGCAGATACATGGATAACACATTCACTCAAAGCACTGTCCCTTTTTCAGTACCTTGTGCAGCCCTGTAATATATAATGACAAATGGAGAAAAATGCCTATTTCAAGAAAAAAAGTCTGTCTCATAATTGTAGGAGTATTGGCAAGGGGGGGGGGGGGGGGGTCATGAAACTTAGCGGTTAATCCAGTTTGTATGTGTAAATGAAAAATGCCTTCTTCTTTGTAGAATAAAAAATGATTATTTTTTGAGTGTTTGTGACCATTTTTATTTCCGAATAGACAGGGTAGCTTATAGCCTACAGAATGAGCTGACCATTTTTATTTATTGTTGTAATTAAAAAAAAAAAGAATGTGTTTTCTACAAAGATCATATGTTATAGATGTGGTATTCAACTTTGTATTCCCATGGTCGATGCATTTGGGTACATCTATTTTTTTTATTTGCTTTCAATGACATCGCATTCAATATCCCAAACTCATGTATACCTGTCCAATACTCCAAATTATACCACTGTAAGCCAAGTCAATGCTTTAAATTTATGAAACCAATCTGTAGATAAGCGTACCTTTTGAATACAGACGATTTTAGAAAAAAAAACGATTTAATTTTCCCTTTTTGCTTAAGTATGTTGGCTAATCTTGGCGGCACCGTGTAATTCATGGACTGGAGGCATGGAATGGAGTTATGGAGTGGACTTTGGAGTGGAGTTTGGAGTCAAATTTTGGAGTCTAAGATTTTTTAATTTGATTTTTGCTATTTAGAACAAAATTCTTCAGGTGACAACTGTGTAGTTTATTATATTCCCATGTTGCTATAAAGCACCAGCTATTGCAACATTTAACATAACCTCCTGTTACTAAAATTAGGTTATCTTGTTGAATCACCTTAAAACCTGCTCAAAAAAAGACAATGTTTCTTTCTACTTGTTTAAGTGGTGTCATTCATGCCCGTTTGATTTTACGTACCGGTAATTCTTTTCAAAGTATTTTTCTGCTCCTTTGGCCTGAGATTTTCCCATTGTTTAAGCAAATATATTCTTTATTGCAATACCCCCAAAATAAGAGTTACTGAATGTGAGCTTTACATTGATCAATCTTGGTATAGATATCAGATTCAATTTGTCGTACTGACGTATAGAATAAAGATACAAAATTCTTCAGGTGACAACTCTGCAGTTGTATTATATTCCCGTGTTGCTATTGGAAGTGATGCGTGTGTTCCTTGGAAAAGTGTAGATGAACATTTTAGTTTATATTTCTGTAACTTAATTAGAACTAGAAATATGTCCATAGGACATGAATACCCCGTCCAGTGTATATTAGTAATGCAACATGAAAATTTGTATTAGTGTATGAAGTTTAAAGAGAATATCTTGAAAACTTCTTTAAAATTGAAATTTAAAAAATTGGATAAAAATGATAAATTCTCACCAGATTGTGTATAAGTGTATTAAGTGCATAAGCTTACATAAAAATATCTTAAACAGTTTCTTTAAAACTAAGCAAAATGCAAATTAAAGAAAAGTGAGGTCAAGGTCACAGGAAAGTGCAAGGTTAAAAGATTTGATGCAGTTAAATAGCTCTCACTAATAAGTATCAGCATATTAAGTTTGATAAACATATCTTGAATGGTTTATTTAAAATAAGCTAAACACTGATTTAAGAAAAATGAGGTCAAGGTCAAATAAAAGGTCATGGTCAAAAAATGTTGATGCAGTTGATAGCTCTCATCAGTATGTATTAGTATTTGAAGTTTGATGAAAATATCTTGAATTCTTTATTTAAAACTGAGCTAAACACTATTTGTAAGAAAAGTTAGATCAAGATCAAAAGAAAGGTCAAGGTCAAAAAATGTTGATGCAGTTGAAAAGGTAACATCAGTATGTATCAGCATATGAAGTTTGATTACACTATCTTGAATGGTTTCTTTAAAACTGAGCTAAACACTTATTTAAGAAAAGTAAGGTAAAGGTCAAAGGAAAGGTCAAGGTCAAAAAATGTTTGCGCAATTGGAAAGCTCTCACCAATACCTATCAACATATGAAGTTTTACAAAAAATATCTTGAATAGTTTCTTTGAAACTGAGATTTGAACTGAGCCTAAATGCAAAGCTCGACAGAAGGACGGAAGACAGACATGACAAACATTATATGGCCCGGCCATATTCATGGCAGGGTATAAAAAAACATTATGAAGTAAACTGGTGGTATGCGTTTTTAATGTTTATTTGAATTATTAATAAATATCAATTTTGACCACTTTTCATAATAATTATCAATCATATTTCTTTGTAACATCAATTAGAGCTTTTTTCACAACCAAATCTATACTTAAGAAAGACATTGTATCAGTCATACTTGAAAGCTTATGTTCTAGGAGTTGATATATTAACAAATATTCATTTAAGATATTGATTGTTAGAACAATTCAGTTGAAGATCACATTATCTATTATCTAAATCTCAGGATTGATATTATATTAATGTTAATTTTTATTTAGACAGATTAATCTTCTGGTCCAACTCTTGAAGTTAATCTTTTTCCTCAAAAATGAATAACCCATAATTATTGTACTTTAATGAATAGCATACCGATGTGAATAAATGGGTCTGTTACAATTGCCTAACACTGCCTGCATCCTCTTGTATAAATACCTCTTGACAGATTATGTGGGACATACAGTGGCTGCACCAAATTCCCGCAAATTCTTTCAGATAAGGTCATGGGTATTAATTTCACTCTAATTGTCAAGAAGTGTGTTATCTAAAACAGTGACAGTTTATTCTATGTTTTAATCAAATTTAACTGTTACATAAATAATGATCACCATAGCTTTCAACACATAATTGGAAGGTGATAAAACCCTCTGACCTAAATTTTAGCTTTCTGTCACATCTTTGTTATGTCTGCTAACACTTTTATATGTTTTTGACCACACAGCTGAACAATGTAGGTTAATATATTGTTACAAGGTTGTTTGTAGAATAAGATTGATGATT